TTTCCTTGGGCATGTAGCCTGCATCTGAATATAAGTGGACATTCTGTCTTTTGCCCTCCCTGGATCCTGCAGCTGCCTCTTGTTCATCTGACCTCCGGTTCTCGGGACTTTAGCTAGCAGCTTACCTGCTGATCTTGGGATTCATCGATCTTCACAGCCTTTGAGCAAGAGCCCTGCTCTCCGACCTGCCGATCTTGGGTTCCCCAGACGCTGTGGCTACATGAATCAGGAGAAGTCTCTATCCTGATCCATGGACTTGGTACGTTCCAGCCTCTACAATCGTGTGAGCTGCTTCCTTGATATAAATCTCTCTCTATATATACGTATTTATATGCTTTACTGTTTTTGCTTCTCTAGAGAACCCAGCCTAAGACAGCAGCCAAGCTCTTAACCACTACGCCACCAGTGCTCGAAACAAGGCCCTCTCTTCAATTCCATGAAAGCTGAGAGAGATGAAGAAGCTGTAGAAGAAAAGTCTGAAGCTAGCAGAGTTTGGTTCATGAGGTTTAAGGAAAGATGCCATCTCCAAAACATAAAAGTGCAAGGTGAAGCATCAAGTGCTGATATAGAAGCTGCAGAAAGAAGATCTAGCTAAGATAATTGATGAAGGTGGCTACACTAAACAACAGATTTTCAATGTAGATGAAACAGCCATATATTGGAAGAAGATGCCATGTTGGACTTTCATAGCTAGAGAGAAGTCAATGTCTGGCTTCAAAGTTTCAAAGGACAGGCTGACTCTCTTGTTCGGGGCTAATGCAGCTTGTGGCTTAAGTTGAAGCCAATGCTCATTTACTATTCTGAAAGTCCTAGGGCCCTTAAGAATTATGCTAACTCTACTCTGCCTGTGCTCTATAAATGGAATATCAAAGCCTGGATGACAGCACATCTTTTTACAACATGGTTTAGTGTATATTTTAAGCCCACTGTTGAGACCTTCTGCTCAGGAAAAAAGATTCCTTTCAAAATATTACTGCTCATTGACAATGCACCTGGTCACCCAAGAGCTCTGATGGAGATGTACAAGGAGATTAATGTTGTTTACATGCCTGCTAACACAACATCCATTCTGCAGCCCAAGGACAAGGAGTAATTTCAACTTTCAAGTCTTCTTATTTAAGACATATATTTTGTTAGGCTATAGATGCCATCAAGGACATCATACATGAAGAAAGCAAAAGGTCATTTAAAAAAAGAAAGAAGGAAAAGACCAACATGGATGTCAGAAGAACCCTGAAACTTGCTTTTAAACACAGAGCAGCTAAAGCAAATGGAAGAAATGATGAAGTAAAAGAGCTGAACAGAATATTTCAAAGGGAGTCTCGAGAAGACTAAGTATTATAATGAAATGTGCAAAGACTTAGAGTTAGAAAACCAACGGGGAAGAACATGCTTGGCATTTCTCAAGCTGAAAGAAAAATTTGAAGCCTGGAGTTGCAATATTGAAGGATTATTTGGGGGAAAATAGTGAACGACGCAGGAAGCATCAAAAGCAGATGGAAGGAATACACAGATCACTGTAGCAAGAAGATTTGGTCGATGTTCAGCCATTTCAGGAGGTAGCATATGATCAAGAACCGATGGTATTGAAGGAAGAAGTCCAAGTTGCACAGAAGGTATTGGCAAAAAACAGGGCTCTAGGAGTTGATGGAATATCAATTGAAATGTTTCAACAAACGGATGCAGCGCTGGACGCGCCCACTCTTCTATGCCAAGAAATTTGGTAGACAAATAGTTGGCTAGCCAACTGGAAGAGATCCATATCTGTGCCCATTCCAAAGAAAGGTGATCCAAAAGAATGTGGAAATCATTGAATAATATCATTAACATCACACGCAAGTGAAATTTTGCTGAAGATAATTCAAAAGCTGTTGCTGCAGTACATGGACAGGGAACTGCCAGAAATTCAAGCTGGATTCAGAAGAGGACATGGAATGAGGGATATCACTGCTGATGTCAGACGGATCTTTGCTGAAAGCAGAGAATACCAAAAAAGATATTTACTTGCATTTTATTGACTATGCAAAGGCATTTGACTGTGTGGAACATAACAAATTATGGATAACATTGTGAAGAATGGGAATCCCAGAACACTTAATTGTGATCATGAGGAACCTGTACATAGACCAAGAGGCAGTCATTCGAACAGAACAAGGGGATACTATGTGGTTTAAAATCAGGAAAGGTGTGCATTAGGGTTGTATCCTTTCACCATACTTATTCAATCTGTATGCTGAACAAATAATCAGAGAAGCTGGACTATATGAAGAAGAACATGACATCAGGATTGGAGGAAGACTCAGTAACAACCTGCGATATGCAGATGTCACAACCTTGCTTGCTGAAAGTGAAGAGGACTTGAATTGTGTCCCCCCAAAATATCTGTCAGTTTGGCTAGGCCATGATTCCCAGTATTGTATGGTTGTCCTCCATTTTGTGATTGACGTAATTGTGTCATAAATCCTATTCTCTGCCTGTGGTTAATGAGGCAAGATTAGGTTATGTTAAAGAGGATTAGGGTGGGATGTAACACTCAGTTCACATCCCTGATTCAGGGTAAAGGGAATTTCCCTGGGGTGTGGCCTGCATCACCTTTTATCTTACCAGAGATAAAAGGAAAGGGAAGTGAGCAGAGAGTTGGGGACCTCATACCAAGAAAACAGTGCCGGAAGCAGAGTGTGTCCTTTGGACCTGGGGTTCCTGTGCTGAGAAGCTCCTAGACCAAGGGAAGATTGATGACAAGGACCTTCCTCCAGAACCAACAGAGAGAGGAAGCCTTCCCTTAGAGCTGATGCCCTAAATTCAAACTTCTAGCCTACTAGACTGTGAGAGAATAAACTTCTGTTTGTTAAAGCCATCCATTTGTGTATTTGTTATAGCAGCACCAGATAACTAAGATATAAAGGAAACAAAAATCCTCACAACTGGACCAATAAGCAACATCATGATAAACAGAGAAAAGATTGAAGTTGTCAAGGATTTCATTTTACTTGGATCTACAATCAACACCCATGGAAACAGCAGTCAGGAAATCAAATGACACATTGCATTGGGCAAATCTGCTGCAAAAGATCTCTTTAAAGTGTTGAAAAGCAAAGATGTCACTTTGAGGACAAAGGTGCCCCTGACCCAAGCCATGGTATTTTCAACCGCCTCATATGCATGCAAAAGCTGGGCGATGAATAAGGAAGACTGAAAAAGAATTAATGCCTTTGAATTACGATGCTGACGAAGACTATTGTATATACCATGCACTGCCAGAAGAAGGAACACATCTGTCTTGGAAGAAGTACAGCCAGAATGCTCATCAGAAGCGAGGATAACGAGACGTCCTCTCATGTTTATTTCGGACATGTTATCGGAAGGGACCAGTCCATGGAGAAGGGCATGCTTTGTTAAGTAGAGGGTCAGCGAAAAAGAGGAAGACCCTCAATGAGATAGATTGACACAGTGGCTGCAACGACAGGCTCACACACAGCAACAACTGTGAGGATGGCGCAGGACTGGGCAGGGTTTCGTTCTGCTGCCATAGATAGTTATTCTGCTATTGGATCTGGGCAAAGTAAATTGAAATCCTTCTGGAAAGTATTCATCATTCTAGATGCCATTAAGAACATTCGTGATTCATGGAAGTCAAAATATCAACACTAACAGGAGTTTAGAAGTTGAATTCCAACCCTCATGGATGACTTTGAGGGGTTCAAGACTTCAGTGGAGGAAGTAACTGCAGATATGGTGAAAATAGCAAGAGAACTAGAATTAGAAGTGGAGTCTGAAAATGTGACTGAATTGCTGCAATCTCATGACCAAACTTTAACAGATGAAGAGTTGCTTCTTATGGATGAGCAAAGAATGTGTTTTTTTGACATGAAAGCTACTCTGGTGAAGATGCTGTGAACATTGTTGAAATGACAACAAAGGGTTTAGAATATTACATAATGAACATAGTTGATAAAGCACTGGCAGGGCGTGAGAGGATTGACTCCAATTTTGAAAAAAGTTCTACTGTGGGTAAAATACTATCAAACAGCATCACCTGCTACAGAGAAAATCTTTCATGAAAGGAAGAGTGAATTGATGAGTCTAATTTCATTGCTGTCTTATTTTAAGAAATCGCCACAGTCACCCAAACCTTCAGCAACCACCACCCTGATCAGTCAGCAGCCATCAACATCGAGGCAAGACCCTCCACAGCAAAAAGATTACGACTTGCTGAAGCTCAGATGATGGTTAGCATTTTTTAAGCAATATTTTTAAATTAAGGTATGTACTTTTTTTTAGACACAATGCTATTGCACACTTTAAGACTACAGTATAGTGTAAATATAACTTTCATATGCACTGGGGAACAAAAAAATTTCTGTGACTCGCTTTATTGTGATACTTGCTTTATTGTGGTGGTCTGGAACCGAACCCGCAATATCTCCAAAGTATGCCTATATATTATAACTTTGTATATATTAATGCACTGCACCTGTTGCTGTGTCTATGCCATTTAACACCTCCCCTAGGTGTGCCAAAGTTGATAATTTTCTGTGTGAGTGCTGATGTAGGAATGGTTGGAAAGCACTACACTGTACCATACGCGATAAGAGCTATAGAAAGCAAGAATGTTACAGAATCATCATTTACACTGTTGAGTTTAATAATCACATTGAAATGGTTCAAAGTATTCAAAAGGCAAAAATACAATCAAGTGCCGCATAATGTCTGTTTGGGCAAGTCCAACTGCATATATGCCCGTGGTCCCATAAGGTCCCAGTCAGAGAACAAGAGGTAGTGGATGTAGAGAATGTTACAGCTTCCTGCATGCAACACGTGTGTCTCATGTCTCTTGTATACAATGTTATTGCGCTGCCAGGCACATAATCAGACAGTACATATATAACCTATAACACATATGTCTTGATAGCCATAATAAACACCTATGTTATTGGCTTATGTATGTACTGTACTTTCCATAGTTATTTTAATGTGAACTTTCCCTACTTACAAATAAAAAGTTCACTGTATAACAGTGTATGCTTTGACTCGTAGGCAGCAGCATCCAATCTTGTATATTGCATGTTTCTTGAGTGTTTAGTGTGATCTGTTTCTTTCAAAAGTATTACCGTGAAGTGTATCATGGCTCCCAAAGGCAGCAAAACCAGTGCTAGTGATTAGCAGCAGCAAGAGGCAAAGAAGAAGCATTGATTTGGAAGTGAAACAAAAGTCTTCCCATATAGCTTTGCTAAGTATATAATATGATATTCACACAACATTCAAATTATATAACATCCTATTCACAGAACCTATCTTGGATGTTAAGCAACGCATGACTGTATTTCTAAAAAACTGGCATGCTCTCAGAGACGAGATAAACTTAAAATCTGGAAGAGGTTTTGTTCCCTAAAGTTAAAAATGCCAACCTATGATAATTTAGTAATTTACATGTGTCCACATATTTTCTGTTAAAATTTTACGTTCTTCTCTGTCACACACATTATTTTTGCAATGATCACCGTAACCATTATATTAATTTCAAATAACAACAGGCATTAGTTGATCATTAATCTTTTATTATCTATATAGATTTCTTGAGATCTGAGAAACATCAAAATTCTATTTAAAATTTGTTCTTAAAAATATATAATATTGCACTTCCATTTTTGGCAGTTTAATTAAGGAGTGGCTGAGAAGAAAAATCGTACAAGAAGCTAATTTTTATTTTGCTCTATAGTAAGCAAGGAACTTTGTGTAAAAGCAGAACTTACACAACTTATTTACAGTAGTGCCAAATAAACCAAATATTTACAGTGTAAATATTAAAGTCTTACCTCTGAAGGAAGATTCAGTGTATTGGATGTAAACAGTATTAATTTAACAAAAGCACTCCCCCTCCGATTCTGCTAAACATTTTTAAGCCAAGGGGGAACTGATGTGAAATATTTTTGTGTGATTTCTTTCTCAAGACAAATACATGGAAAGAATGCTTGTTCTTGGAGCACTGAAACTGGATCACTAAACCCTTCCACAATGATGTTTCCTACATGACTTTAAAAATCACATCAAACTAAGAATTCCAGGTTAAGCCTTCTTTTTTAGTTTTTCTGTAATTATTCTCTTTTACAAGTGCATGAGTTAGCAGTTATGTAATGGTTTTTTTTTGTTGTTGTTGTTGTTAATTGTTTATTTTCCAAGAGAACTATTCCTTAGCCCACAGAGTCATGCTTCATAGTTCAAGAACACAGGTCAGTGACAACTTTCATGGAACTTGGTCCAAAGAAATTCTTTACATTCCAAAATCATTTTACACTTGGAAAGATACCAGCTTTCTTCATCTCCTCAAAATTCTTCATGGAATCATAATTTCTGCAGAAATCTGCATATGCCTTCTTTCTTGGTTCAGCTACTGCATGCTTACAGAGTTGCAACCCCCAGGGACATAATGATTGTTCCAACAACACGAATTCACAGACGCTTGGCCAGAGGCCTTGTATCTGAGGTTTCGTCACAACACTGGAAGACAGACATGGTGGTTCTTCTCCCTCAACACCAACGTCCTTCCTGACTCTATGTAATGATTTTAAGGTCAGTTTCTTATACTTTTTCTAACAGACATAAGATTCTAAATATGCATCTGCTTGAATTATTTTTAACTTTTGTTATATCATAATGAAACTGTATATACTTATATTGACCTAGAATTTCATACTCTATACTTTTTAATTCCCAATTAGGTAAATACTCTAAAAAGCTCTAATTTTTTTCACTTATCAACTAATTAGGAAGACAGTTCTGAAACAGTTGTTTGCAAAAGCAAATGCCAAGATTTAGACCTACTTAACAGTGTATTAAACATTCACAAGACCAAAAACTAAAAATGTGAAAATAAATAGAATATACGTGCAATATAAATACATGACACAGAAACATCCATTTTTGGCACCACCTAAAAAATACCCAGCTGTACTTATTACTCTTCAGGTCTTTGGGAACACTTAAAATTTCTAACTATTAAACTTCTCCTTTTCCTCTGGAGAAAAAATAATTCACAAATTTGAACTGGTATTTCAAAAGCAAAAGGATTTCTTTTTGTTAATTCTTAAACGATCTGAAGAATGACCAGTTATTCGAAGTTTAACGAGTAGCCAATATGTTAATTAAGCTTTTACAATTCTACCGTGACTTGATTATTTCAAATAGTGATTTAATGTGGAAAGATATGGTTTCTTCTTAAACCACCATGTACCAATTGCATAGTTCTGACTTGAAAACGAAACTCAGAGTACAGTTACAAAGACATTAATATATATTAACTGAACTGAAATAGATTCTTGAGAAACAGTCTAGTTTGGGTAGATGTTAGTGTAAACTCAGAGGGAAAAAACAGTCAATAGCAAACGAGTTTTCTTAAAAAATAGGTTAATGCTAAGAATAATAGCTTTTAAAGTTTCTGTTAAAAATAAGCTTAATAAACAAGAACACAAATTTTAATTCAAAACTTAGCTCTTTGAAATGCCCTATTTTCTTGCATATAGCAGAAAATACATTTTTCATAGTTTTCAACATTACATGTAAAAATGAGGCACTAGTTAGACATAATTTTTATATATTCACACAAATAGGTATTTCAGTCCCATCCGTAGGTTTACATTTGCTTGCTGTTTTCTGAATGGCAAACTGTTCACAAAAATAAGTCTTCTGAAGGAGGTGCATAGGAGAAGCCGAGGAATGCATCATCTGCCTCTAGCACACTGGCGTTCACTATGGAATAGTCAGAGGACACACACACAGAGTATGGAACTGTTTCTTCTGTAAATGCTGCATCAAAGTTCCGGATATCATCTGGTCCGGCCTAGAACATCAAAAGCACACCATTATTCACCTTAGCTTTTCTTTCATGAATTGAGTCCTTCATTAAAACTATATTATGAATTTGTATATTTATTCCTGGCAAGTTCAGATGTCTTCCTACTTCATCTTTTCTTTGAAACATTTCTTCTGCTTTTCCTTTCTTGATTTTCATTATCTAGGTGAGATGGCCTATACTTGTAACAGTTAAGGTTCTTATTGTTGGGTGGGGGAAGGGAGGTGGGGGAAGAAGGCCAGCATCACAGAGTGGTAATCTATGCTAATCTGAATCCCAGGCACTGTAATGGTGCCCTTCTCCTCCACCCGTCACCACCTCTAAGTTCAGAGAAGGGGATCAGGTAGGTTATAAGGTTAGCACTTTGCATTTGAGCTGCCATATATGTCTGTTCATCTTGCTCCTCAATTCTGGATGGGTGAAGTCTTCTGATGAGGAAATGAAGGGGTGATACATAAAACTGTGGGGTGGGGTGACTTACTGTGCTACAGAGAACATCATGAAGCATGTGGCTAGGGCCTAAGTGGGACAAGGCACATGGGAGATGAAGTGTATAGGCTGCTTAAGTTCTAAGACCCCGTTGCCATGGGGTCAATTCCGACTTATAGTGACCCTATTGGACAGAGTAGAACCACCCCATAGGGTTTCCAAGAAGCAGCTGGTGGATTCAAACTGCCAGCCTTTAGGTTAGCAGTCGACCTCTTAACCAGTGCGTCACCAGGGCTCCAGGTTCTAGGAAAGTGGGTCTTAATTTCCCTTTATGAATCTGATGAAGGCTAACAGACACTCCCCTTCTGATACGTTTACAAATAAAACTTGGGATACAAATTCAGGTGATTCATTCTTCAAACCCATCGCTGAAGCCCTATGCTATCTCTGCTCTAATGGGAGGTTGTTATTGTTAGGTGCCCTTGAGTGAATTTCAACTCATAGCAACCCCATGTGACAGAGCAGAACTGCCCCGTGGGGTTTTCTTGGCTGTAACCTTTACAGAAGCAGATTGCAAGGTCTATCTCCTGCAGAGATGCAGGGTGGCTGCGTTCAAACCACCATCCTTTCGATTGGCAGCATCCTTTTGATTGGAGTGCTTAACCATTGCACTACAGGTCTCCTAAGGGGAAGGGAATTCTTAAAATGTACAAATCATCAAGCCTAACCTAGGTGAACAGATGAGGATTTAGAACAGATTAATACAAACCAAGGATATAATTAGCCTGATAGGGCTACTATCTGAGCAGAGACCAGGGAAACCCAGAATGCCACAGCCTTCCATATGAGAAAATCCCCCATAGATGAGAAAGAAATGCTAGAAATTTTGTATATATACACACATACATATATCATGTCCTCAAGTTCTTAATATATCCCTAGAAACATGGCCTCTAGACTACAACAAAGTTTTAAATTCTGGTGGTGAAATTTGCTAGCTGTAATTCTTTATGTAAGTTACCCTAACTCTGTGAGCTTGTCTCCTCTTCTGTAAAATGAGAATACTGTTGCCTATCTCTTAGGTCTGCTGTGAGGATGAGTTAATACATAAAATTCCCAGAATCTGACATGTAGAAGGCACTCAATAAATGATAGGAAATGTTATTATATTTGGCTTTATAAGCATTTTGCAAATGACCTCATGGCTGGTACTGAGAGAGATAATACTACCCATTACGTTACTTGTATTATTGTTGTTGTGAGCTGACTCATAACGACCCTATACAACAGAGTACAACTGCCCCATAGGGTTTCCTAGGCTGTAAGCTTTATGAGGAGCCCTAGTGGTGTAGTGGTTCAGAGCTCGGCTGCTAATCAAAAATGTTGGCAGTTCAAATCCACAGATGTGCCTCGGAAACCCTACCGGGCAGTTCTATTCTGTCTTACAGGATTGCTATGAGTCAGAATCGACTCAATGGCAATGGGTTAATCTTTATGGGAGCAGATTGCCAGGGCTTTTCTCCAGAGGAGCTGCTGGTGAGTCCAAATCTCCGACTTTTTGGTTAGCAACTGAGCACTTAAACCATTATGCCACCACGGCTCCTTGTATTAGCTAAATGGTATTATCCCTTCTCTTTCATAGTAACTATCATAGTAACTTCTGAGAAAATGAAATTAAGAAACCAATACTTAGTTAAGATGATTTAAATATTTAGTAATACAAATCTAATTCTGAGGATTAAAACAAAAAGAATTCAGGAATACTTATCCATTGTTAACAGAGAAATAAACTGATTCTGATACTTTTATAATGCAGATTATTTGGTCACACGTAATTGAAAGTATTTTATACAACTAAATATAGTGTTTTTTGGAAGCACTCCTATTAACTGCTAGAAGAAATCACAGAAATACTGAAGCTTATCACGATCATTAGCCATCAGAAAGAGGCAAATCACAACTACAATGAGATACCATCTCACCCCAACAAGGCTGGCACTAATCCAAAAAACACAAGATAACAAATGTTGGAGAAGTTGTGCAGAGACTGGAACTCTTACACACTGCTGGTGGGAATGTAAAATGGTACAACCACTTTGGAAAACGATTTTGGGCGCTTCCTTAAAAAGCTAAAAACAAATACCATACAATCCAGCAATCCCACTACTAGGAATATACTTGAGGGAAATAAGAACCATCACACGAATAGACATATGCACACCCATGTTCACTGCATCACTATTCACAATAGCAAAAAAAAGGAAACAACCTAAATGCCCATCAACAGATGACTGGATAAACAAACTATGGTACATACACACAATGGAATACTATGCAATGATAAAGAACAATGATGAATCCCCGAAATATCTCACATTATGGATAAATCTGGAGGGCATTATGCTGAGTAAAATTAGTCAGTCACAAAAGGACAAATATTGCGTGAGACCACTATTATAAGAACTCAAGAAAAGGTTTAAACACAGAAAAAAGCATTCTTTGATGGTTACGAGGGTGGGGAGGGAGGAGGAGGGGAATTCACTAACTAGATAGTACACAAGGGTCAACTTCGGTGAAGGGAAGGACAACACACAGTACAGGGGAAGTCAGCACAACTGGATCAAAGCAAAAGCTAAGAAGTTTCCTGGACACATCTAAACACTTTGAGGGACAGGACCGGGGCCTGGGGACCACAGTTTCGGGAGACATCCAGGTCAACTGGCATAATAAAGTTTATAAAGAAAATGTTCTACATCCCACTTTGGTGAGTGGCTACTGGGGTCTTAAAAGCTAGTGAGCGGCCATCTAAGAAACAGAAATTGGTCCGATATCACTTGGAGCAAAGGAGAATGAAGAAAACCAAAGACATTAGGAAAATATTAGCCTAAATCACTAAAGGACCAAATGAACCAGAGACTACACCAGCCTGAGACCAGAAGAACTAGATGGTGCCCACCAACGACCACCCTGACAGGGAACACAACAGAGAGTTCTGGACTGTGCAGGAGAAAAACACAGAACTCAAATTCACATAAAAAGACCAGACTTCATGGTCTGACAGAGACTAGAGGAACCCCCAAAACTTTGGCCCCCAGACGCACTGTTAACCCAGAACTGAAACTATTCCTGAAGCTCACTCTTCAGACAAAGATTAGACAGGACTGTAAAATAAAAAATAATACATGTGAGGAATGTGCTTCTTAGTTCAATCAGATACACAAGACCAAAGGGGCAGCTCCTGTCCCAGAGCAGGATGAGAAGGCCGGAAGGGACAGGAACTGGTCGAATGGACACAGGGAACCCAGAGTGGAAAGGGGTAGAATGCTGCCACATTGTGGGGACTGCAACTAATGTCACAAAACAGTATTATAAATTTTTGTATAAGAAATTAACTTGAGCTGTAAACTTTCATCTAAAGTACAATTTAAAAAAAAGGTCCTAATGACTTTTTCAAAGGGAAAGTATAAAAACTTTGACTCAAAGATCAAGCTTATTGTTATTTTTTAAAAAAAAAACTGAATCAGTATGGTCAAAACCTAACTTTCCTTTTTCTAAGTAACTACCATAATTTTACACAAATAACATGTGTTATGTACATTTTTGCCAACCGCCCAACCCCCCTGCACATTATTTTCCTAGGCATGCTATATGTACAGGTGTGTTATTTGCAAAAATGTGGTAACCCTATTAACATTTAAAACATCAACCAGACTGAAAACCAATGAATTCAGTTTGTTGAAAGTTAGGAAGAGTAAGCATCAAAGATAATTTCTGTCGGCACCTTTTTTCCTCCATAGATCTAGCCATAAATTATTATGAGGCATCTGTTTTGTTGCCTCACATTACATAATTCAATCCACATACCTGAATGCCTAATGCATGCTAACTGTATAGTTACTTTTCTTTATATATAGTCTGTCTCTTTAACTAACTGTAATTTCCTTGAAGGCATATTTCTTTGTATTTTCTACCTAAGTGTCTATATATATTTAACTGACAAATTCTCAAAAAGAAGAAAAGGAAGAAGGGAACTAATATTTATTGAATACCTACTATGTGCAACTCAGGTGCTTTACAAGCATTATCTAAATTAAACCTCACAATCCGTGTCAGAAAAAAACAAGGGCTTGAGAGGTTAACAACTTAACTTCCAATGAGACACAGATACCTGAAAGTATCTGACTGAAGTCAATGTTTCCATTTCTAAAGCTGCTTAGAAGGAGTCCCTACTCCTTAGTGTGCCTGAGGACACATTTCGTTGAGGATATCTAAACGCAGTGACTCTTAGCATAAAGGAAAAAGTCGATCATTCTTAAGGGTCCTGGGTTCCTACTATAAATTCCAGAAATTAGGAATAGAAATTGTCCCTAACAGTCACTTCCGAAAGTCACTTCTGGATGAGCTACATGAAATAAGTTTACAAACACTGTAATGTCTAAAAGTGTACAATATCACACCCATTAACTAATACCAGCTATGAGCTATGCAGAGAAAACGAGCCTTTAACGAAGCCCGAGGAGACTAAATAATACTTGCTTCCCCGCACTGCTGTCATTATCCTGCTCTAACGTTAAAAAAGTATACCCTAAGTTTCACAGCAAAATTCACTGATGATCCTGCCACCCCAAATCAATCTTGGTTTATATTCTCTTCCAGTCCTTATCCATATTTTTACAATTATAATCATAAGTTACAAAAATAATAATTACCAAGTTTCGATTTAATATTATAAAGACGTTCTGGTCATTTTAGTATTTATCATTTACTTAACCAGAAAAGGCAATATTGCTTTAACAGAAAGAACACTGACTCTGGAGTCAGAAGATTTAAATCCTGGCTCTGCCGCTTTTTATCCAGCTATATGACCTCTCTGGTTTCCACTTCCTCATTTATAAAACATGTATAGTAACAACAATAGTACCAGTAGCAGCTTGGTAGCTTATTTGAAGAGTAAATTATGTATTATGTGCACACAAGTATATATCACAATGCCTGGTACACAGGAAACTATCAATAGTTACTAATATCCTTACTGGCCCACTGATGATTATTAATCATTTCTCTATTGTTATATATTTTTTCCAAAAAATTCCAACATTGTTAATACTGTAAAGCGTATCTTTGGTGATGGAGACTTCTGAAATATCCCCATCAGTAGATTTAACAAGTCAAGCTAACATGAACATTTTTATGGTATACTGTCTTACTGTTTTCCAAAAAGGATGTAACAATTTACATTACCATTAAAAATGTTTCCCTGTATTTGGTTTTAAGTCAATCTAGGAAGAAAAGTGCATCAGTGTCACTTAAAACGTTTTAGCATATATAAAAATAAAATATAGTTACTTTAATTTACATCTTTTTTTTAACCTAATAAGCTCATCCTTTTCTTAAACCTGCTCCACAAAAACACTCTACAATTACTGTGCTGCAAGATATTTTTTATCAACCGAATATAATCTTGGCCCTCTGTGAAAAGCAGTAAACCATCCTGAGTGACATATTTTGCAAATAATTAGGTACTGACTCCATTTAAATTTTTTTAAAAAATTCATTGTGCTTCAGTTGAAAGTTTAGAGTGCAAATTAGTTTCTCATTCAAAACTTTATACACAAATTGTTTGGTGACATTGGTTGCCATCCCCACAATGTGTCAGCACTCTCCCCCTTTCCCTTTCCACCCTGGGTTCCCACTGTCCATTCGTCTGGTTTTCCTGTCTTCTTGCCTTTGCTTTCGGGCAGGTGTTGCCCATTTGGTCTCGTATACTTGCTCGAACTAAGAAGCACATTCCCTAGGTGTGTTATTGTTTGTTTCATAGGCCTGTCTAATCTTTGGCTGAAAGGTGAACTTCAGGAGTGGCTTCAGTTCTAAGGTAGTAGCGTGTGAGGTTAGATTTTGAGATCTACTGCTACAATTACAATGAACTACAGTTTTATGTTACACCAGTTTAGAAAAAAAGATTTGGATATATACATACCACATTAGGATTAAATGGTGGTGGAATCTTCTTTTGTACAAGGTCAGTCCAGCTGAGTGATTCAAAAAAAGGATGATTCTGAATTTCAAGCTGGAATATTAAAGAAATATTTTTGTTTTTACTAATTCTGAAGAAATTTTAAGATGCCAAAATACTACCATTTTGCTCCTCAATTATTCTTTTTAGATACATGTTTATGCTATTCACACAGTAAAACAGTGTACTGGAAAGACTGACAGACCAGATGTGAAAGACGGTTACTTAGAATTATCTGCTTTAACCTAAGTTATCCTCTTCCCAGTCACAGCTTCCTCACAGGTAAAGTGTTAACATTTCTGCCCTGGATGCTTCACAGGGCTGTTTGAAGGATCAGCAGAAAATACGAAAATCACTATGAAAATAATATAAAGAAAACATGAAAATAGAAGTGCTGTGAAAAGCACCACATACAAAGAATTACTATTATTACCTGAATAGGTGAGGCAAACAAGAAGTCAGGACAAGAGAGTTTTACACAGTGGGACAGAGGTAAAACCAAGGTGAAAAGTTCTACTGTCAAGAAAATTTTCACTCTCATTGGCAGTATCAAATTTGGCACAGTATTGCTTCCAGCTTTTTTTCCTGCAAGGTGCCACGGAAGCGTAAAGGTAGGATCTAACCTAGTTTGGTGGGTTAAAAAACACTTCTTACAGAAAGTAATGTCTGAGCAGAGATCTGAAGGATGAGTAAGAATTACCCAGGCAAAACAATGAGGGGAGAACATTCCAGGAAGAATATAAAGGTTCTGAGGTGGCAAAGAGGTTAGTTTGGTCAAGAAAATGAGAGTCCAGTATGGATGTAGCATAGGGAAGGATGAGGATTGTCACACAGGTGAAGTTAAAGAGGTAGCAGGAGCTGTATCATATGGGGACTACATTAAGAATTTTGGATTTTATTCTAGGGTTATGAGAAACCATCAAGGGGTTTTAGGTAGGGAAATGTCACAGCTGTATAATTATTATTTTTAAGACATTCTGGCTGTAGTGGGGAAATGGATTAGAGAGTCAAGATTGGATAAAGGAAAAATATCTACCACTGAGTCACACAAGACATGCCAGTGGGTAGGCAAAGAGTAGTAACAGTGGGGCTAAGAGAAGTGTCTGGATATGGGAAAGATTTGGTCGGCAGATGCAGCAGGACCCGGGGGTTGGCTGCATATGGAAGTAAGGAAGAGAGAGGAATCAAGAATGATTCTCAGATTTCTGACCCAAACAATCGGATAGACACTGATGTCATTTAATTAGAAAAGGAATGCAGGGGGAATTTTTTTAAACCTGCTGAGTTTGAGTTACTCTCCAGAAACGCAAGTGGTAGTGCCGAACGGACAGATATTATTTAAGTCTAGAGCACAACAACAACAGAGTTCAGAAGAGAGGCCTGGACGGAAGACATAAATGTGTGAGGTAACGACATACACGTGACTAAAGCCATGGGACAAATTCCTCTCCAGGAAGAGAACACAGCAGAAAAAAGAGGGTCTTAGGACAACTCCAAGAAACTGCAAAATTGAATGGTCAGGTTGAAGAAGAGGACCTGACAAAGAAGGTTATGGAGGAGGGCTCAGAAAAGGAAAGTGTGAGATGGGTGCGTGCTCTTGGTGAAACCTAGGGAGCACGAGAGAATTCCAAGTTTAAATGCTGCTGAGAGCTCCCACTAAGGAAGACAAGTACCCAGCAGTTCTAGTAGCTATTCTGTGGTAGACTGAGAGATGAGAAGAGACTGGGAAAGGGAGAGTGAGTATAGAAAACTTTCAACAGGTTTGGCTGTGGAAGGGAGAAGATAGGGTAGTAGCTTGCAGGACGGTAGGGCTGAGGGGTTTTTGGTTTGCTTTAAGAGAAAAGAGACTTCATGATACTTAATTATTGACTGGAAAGAACGAGAACAAAAGGGAGCAGTTGTCCGTGCAGAAAAAAGCATTCACAGACTCCTTGCAAGGGGTCGGGATCCAGCGCATAGGTAGAAACTGACCTTTTCCACTACAAGAGAAGGAAATGGTAGGTGCAGATGTATGTAGGTCTGCAAATATGGTAGCAAGAAGTTGAGTTAGTTCCTCTCTAGTGGTTCCATTTTCCTTATAAAATAGGAGGCATCTGCTAAAAGTGAGGAAGAAGAAAAGGAATCAGAAAGTTTGGAGAGAAGGCTTGAACTAGCTATTACAGAGAGTAGGAGAGTCAGCTGAACAGAGAAACAAAGGAGCATTATCAGGCAGGGGGGAAACACACAGGAGCTTAGTGATTATGATTTTACAGTGGCTTCAACATGCCCAGTTGTGTAACTTTCTTCCACACTGTTCAGCAGCCCAGGAGGTTAGAGACAGTTGGATTCACCCAGGGTTGCGATTTCTGCCAGTGAATTTAACAAAAAGTCACAGGAGCATGGAGGTCAGGAATAGGAGCAAGACTGACTGAAACTGGACTATGGACTGTGAGCTCCACAGCAAACTATTGGTGGAGCTACCCGCTGAATTGGGGGCGGGGCAGGGGTTGTGGGTGGGACGCAATATTAGAAAAGTTCATTAGCCACAGATCAAGTTCAAGACTGATAAACAGCCTCCAAGAATTTCTGAGAAAGAAAATTAAAAGTTCACGTTCCTCAATCGTTTGTGAGTTTACTGACACACTAACATAACACTGGTAACTCCACTAGCAATTTAATTATCCTGAATCAAAACAAACAATCCTGCAGATTCCATAAGAATTTCAAGGTGTCACCAAATTCTCATAACAAAGTGATTTCATGCTAGTTCAGAGCAAAAGGTATTATTACCTCATGCAGCAGAAGGCACCTAACAAATTCTTGTTAAATAAAATGATTTAAAAATTTAGGTAGTTGAAAAAAATGTACGCCACACAACATTTTTTAAAAAGAAGGGACAGAAGGGGAAACTGTTATAAATGAAAATCAAATAAATCACTCTGTTATGAAAATCGAATGAAAAAATGCTTGTACAAGTGCTCTAAGCACTGTTCAGCTCTATATAAATACTGGCAACGACTGCGGAGACATGTATGTTTCTTTCTCAGGGTGCTGTTCTTGAAGGCTGCAGTCATCACAGAAAACAAGGATTCTCCTCCCAATTTTAAATAAGCTTAAATACAGTCAGTATTGGGAAAGACGTTACATACAAAGTCTTCTCTGGCACCGAGCCGATTTTGCCTGTCTTTCTCAAGGAGTTCTTCTAGAATGGACCAGGCTGTGAGGCTCACTCCAGGCCTCAAATTTAGGGGCTTGTGAAGAATATTGTCATACATCTCAGCAACATCTCGGCAATAAAAAGGAGGCTAAAAAATAAATAAATAAATAAATCAAAATAAAGAAATTAAGCGGTAACTGAACTATACCAAAATTGGGTTAAAACTGTAGGGTCTGGTCTCCATCTAGGAGCCCTGGTGGCACAGTGGTTAAAGTGCTCAGCTGCTAACTAGAGGTCTGAACCCACCGGCTGCTCCATAGGAGAAAGATGTGGCAGTCTGCTTCCGTAAAGATTCATGGCCTTGGAAACCCTATGGGGCAGTTCTTCTCTGTCCTACAGGGTCTCTATGAGTCGGAACTGACTCAACAGCAAGGGGTTTTTGGGTTTGGTCTCCATCTGCAGGCGGCAGTCTGGACAGTCGCAGACACGCAAGGCCTTTTGGGCACGTGCACATTTGTAGTGTGGTTTCCTGGTGCCCTGAGATTCCAAGGCCCAGCACACCACAAAGTTTAATACATGTTCACTGGATGAATTAGGGCCAGTTCATTTGTTCATTAGCACCTTATGGGCAAGTGTTAAATTGTATAAAACTTGTAATAGTATCTACTTCAGAAAAAACAATAACCAACCTCCTCATGGGCACAGTGATAAAATTATTGGAAACAGAGATTCAACACACATCAACACTAAGTAATTTCTTGCTGATTTTGGAATAAACTAATTAAACCAGAGTGAGACAGAGACCTGAAGATAGCACTCCTCCCTAAGTACCTGTGACAACGACAAGACGGTGCTGCACTTCGCGCTGGGGATACGGCGTCAACAGGTGAATGCCAGTTAGTCCTTTAGTTCTGAAGTAAAGGGAACTTATAGGCTTGTCACTTTTTTATGGGGGGGACTTCATTTTTTAGTTTTTTAAATTTAATTTTTAAACAGTTAATAAAAATTAAGTCTCATTAATGAAGCATATGTTTCAAATGTTCCCTTCTGTATCAATTGCATTTTACATACAACGTTAGTATGTTATACTTTAAAAGTCCTCTAAAGAAATTCAAAGGATGTTGAAATATCAAGAAGGTAAATATCCAGCACTTGGAGAAGAGAAGATATAAAGTGGTTATCAAATGTTATAGTCATAACCATAAAACTAGATCTTTCAACAAGGGGGTCCTAGTCAAGGACAAAGAGATACTGTTGGCTTTCACAGGTATCTATCATTCAAAATTAACAGGAAACAAATGCTCTAAAATGTACATCATGTACAGAATTTCACCGAGAGCTCCAGTTTTCAGGAAAAACAACAACAATACACAAACCCCGCTCAGGTCTCAGCTGACAGCCATATTTAGGATCAGCAGTGTCCGTGTCAGCATTGAGCATTAGAGCATGGCTCCCAGCACGATGTCAATGTACAACTAAGGGATCATGAAGGGCGTCTAGGGACTACTCTGAATATTTCAAATGCCTGAAGGAAAGCAAACATTTACTTCCTTCTAAGGATATGTAAGCTAACTAAACTGCCGAAACTGGTTTTGGTTGGAACATTAGCTCAGTGCAGGAAAACTAGTTAACTCATGTTAATCAGAAGATCTCGCTGGCTTTATGGGTCTTTAATAAAAATTGAAGAAATTAATTACTCAGTAAGCATCACTTGTTCTTCCATGAAATCATCAGGACATGGTGTTTATGAGAAAGGGAATACAGAATCCCCAGTGGCGAAAAAGCTGAGAATCAGCGTATTAATTAAATCCTATGAAAACAAACTGCAAGGCAAATACTCAAATGCGTTATTTTTTTAAATTAAGCAATACGTTGATAAATACAAATTTTTTTTCTTTCATCTTTTTGAAATTAGGCAGGAATGATGTTTGGGGTAAATACAATGAAAGTGGGTAACTTTTTTTTTTTTTAGTGAAAATATACACAGCAAAAGATACACCATTTCAACAGTTTCTACATGTACAATCCAGTGACACTGACTACATTCTTCAAGTTATGCAATCCTTTTCCAAATTATTCCACCACCCTCAACATAAACTTACTGCTCTCTGAGTTTCTCGTCTAACCTTCCAAGTTACTGTTGTCAGTTTGATCCCACAAAGATAATTCTTTAAAAGAGCATAATACTCAAGGCAGAAATACTTTACTAATTAAGCTAAACTATCTATAGTGTTGCTGTGAGTTGGAACTGACTCAATGGCCACGGGTTTGGTTTTGGTTTATTGTTGGGTTCAAAGAAGCTAAGTGGGTAATTTTAACGTCACAACTAGGTGTCTATTTCTAAAAATGACAGTGGAATGAGAATATCTGAAGGAGTGGTTAATATGAGAGAGAAATAATTATATCAACTTAAAAAAACTAGTAAAACGAAAAGATTTACTTTTTGTGCATATCCCTAACGTGTTCTTTGATTCATTTAACCAGGTTATTGCTCTGTTACTCTGTTAGTGTTCTCACAAGATTATCAGACAGAGAGAGAGAGAAAATTCAAATTAATTACAATATACTGAAATAGTCATGAAAGAACGGAAATACATACCAATCCATATAGCATTTCATACAGAACAGCACCAAGGCACCACCAATCCACAGTATTGTCATAGGGCTGTTTTCTGATTACTTCGGGTGCAAGGTACTATACAAAAGATTAAATATTAGACTATTTCAATAAACAACTCAGACAATTAAAATTTAGGAACAATTCAGAAATTTAACAAATTTTAGGTTTTACTATCACACTAAAAACCTGTTTTCTTGACTTTCAATGGGCTGGGGGACTCTCATTCTATCACAGTGGTTCTTAGGCAGGGCTACTCTTCAGAATGAACTGGGATATTTTTTCAAAATACACATATTCTAGCAACTCCTCCAGAAATTCTGATGCAGCTAAGACAAACAGAAGAGAACAGCAGTATGGAATCTTTCACACTAAGTGGGTAAAACATATATTGTAGGGGGAAAGGCTTTTACAAGATTAGCTGATTTTGGAAGTTCCTCGGGTCATTATTCATCACACTTTTTCCTTGAAGGAGTTCTCAATGTGTCAAATATATTCCTTTTTTTCTTTTCAATGTAAAAAAGAAATTAATTTCATTCTTACTTAAAAACTACAATAGTAATTCTCTGAATATGTTACTTAGAAAAGTTGTGTAAGCTAGATGATTATTTGCATTTTAATGTGAAAAATTTTAAACACATCACAATTTCACACATAGAAGATGGCGAATTTTAATTTTAGATTCCAAAACACATATTTCCTCTTTCCACATCAAGTATATGTAAGAAAAACATTTCCTCTTAAACTTTTTTTATATGATCCAAAACAAATGGCCAAATAAATTTTTAGAAGTTTAACAATTTTATGATCACATTTAGATTTAGGCAACAAAATAACTTGTGTTTCCTTTCTAAAAACTATAGACTTAAGAAAGAGTGTTAACTACGAAATCAATACACCTTCACAAAAAACATTTCTTCATACATAAACCAAAACAGAATGACTTCAAATATATTCAAGAGCTTGGGGTTAGATTACAGAGAGAAAAGAAGAAAATGGTACATTTCAAAGTAAATAATCATTACTTATAGACACTTTTATTAAGCTTCTGATCTTGATTACAAGTCTTACGTGAATCATTTTTTCATACTTTTTCTTTTTTTAAAAACAAATTTATTTTTGTTATTGCTGAGAATATAGTCATGCGTTGTTTAACGTCCATGATACGTTCTGTGACACAGGACGTTACGTGATTTGGATGTTGTGCGACCATGCCTAAATCGCAAACAATAGTATTCACTGATTTTCCACCTTTGTGTTGTTTAGTAACCTTTTGTTTCACTTCCAAATCGATACTTCTTTGCCTCTTGCTGCTGCTTCCACTAGCACTGGTTTTGCTGCGTTTGGGAGCCATGATGCACTTCATGGTAATATTTTCAAAAGAAAACAGATAATGCTACAACACCCAAGAAATGCCCAATACACGAGATTGGATGCTGCTACCTAGGAGTTAAAGCATACGCTGTTACACGGTAAACTTTTTATTTGTAAGTAGGGTAAGTTCACATTAAAATAACAATATACAGTACATGCATAAGCCAGTAACACAGGCGTTTATTATGACTATCAAGACATATGTATTATAGGTTATATATGTACCGTACCATTATATGCCCGGCAGTGCAAGTGCTTTGTATACGAGAGACATGAGACACACGTGTTGTGTGCGCAAAGATGTGTTCAATACATCCAGTTACGTCCACTACTTCCTGTTCTCTGATCAGGATTTCAAAACTCAGTTATAACCTTATGGGATTATGGACATATATGTGGTTGGATGTTGCCTGAACGGCCGTTATGCAGCGCACGACTGTACACAGCAGAACAGACACCAATTCAACAGTTTGTAAGTGTACAGTTCAGTGACACTGATTACATTCTTCAAGTTGTGCAACCATTCTCACCCTCCTTCTCTGAGTTGTTCCTCCCCCATTAACATAAACTCACTGCCCCTATGCTTCCTACCTAATCTTTTTTTTTTTTTTAATATTTTATTGTGCTTCAGGTGAAGGCTTACAGAACAGATAGTTTCTCATGTAACAGTAACACACATGCTGGTTTATGACATTGGTTAACAACCCC